AGAGAGAGAGGTACATTCTTTTTCTTAAGTGGGATGCTATTAAAAGAACAAATTTAAGTAAAATGTTCTCTATGTCATTTAATGTCTTGTAATTAGTTAGAAATAACTGACTAAGACATTCTATACCAAAATGAAAATTTAAATGTTTCAGGGGCTGGGGAGATGGCTCAGTAGAACAAGCACTTGCTTGGCAAGTGCAAGGGCATGAGTTCAATCCCTGGTTCTGCCAAAAAATAAATAAATAATGTTTCAGAGATAACAAAACCTAGTGGTTCTAATGTAACCACATAATAATGATTGTTATGGTAAAGCATTCCTGATAACAAAAGGAAGTAAAGAGGGGCACTTTAAAATTCAAAGGGCCACTGTCAGCAAAGAAAAGATAGTGACAAAACTAAAAGATTCAAATATATAGAAAAATACTTGTGGAAGATATGGTTCATTTAAAAAAACCACATATCTTTGCTTATTTTGAGCTTTTGCTCTTGCTGGTTTACTTGATCTGGGGCCATTTCTTCTAAAATCTCCTTGTTTCTTAAAGAAACTCAAAGGCAAGGCTGAGGCCTCAACTCAGTCTATCACTCATTTCTTCTTTTGTCTCATTGCTACTTTCAGACAAAGACAATAACTCTCATTTCTTAGACTGATACTAGCCATGAGATTTTCTGCATAAACAGCAGAAATATCTAGACAAGAGACAATAAACAGGGCAGAATTTCCTCATTGGGCAGTTCCAACCTGGTTGGGGCAGGATTTACAAATGGTTTAATCTAGTTTTTTTTTTTTTTTTTTTTTCTTTATCTCTTCCCAAAGTGTGACCATGAATAACTTGGTGTCTATAAAGCTCCCACCACAATACTGATATAATTGATCTTTCTTCTAGGTGCTCAACATCCTAGTTTTAGAGTCCAAAACTAAAATGACAACTAGGCTAAAAGGAGAGCCAATATTTTGGCCCTGGCCCTCCAAGATCAACAAGGACCTAAGATGTGAGCAGACCTAGACTTCAGAAAACAAAAGCCAACCAATATAACCAAATGAGAGCATGCCAAAAAAAGAGTTACCAAAGAAAGAAATGTCCTCCATCTACATGGTCAGGCAAGACCATGACCCATCCTGGTGGCTGACATTGACAGAAGAGTTGACTCTATACGTGGTTCCGAAAGACAGACAGGTAAGAGACTAATTTTAACTGACACAGGTCTCATTTTACTCATTCTTACATCAAAAAGTATACTCAAAGGATATATAAAAATAATATACTATAATAATAAAAGTTAGATATAAAAGGGGGGGGGTCAGTCACTGACCCCTGCTTCCAGCTTCTAGCTACAGTTGTACCTAACCACTATTACGACTTAATGAAGCTGAAAAGATACAGTGAAAGCCATAAAACCTGAGCAAGAGTCTTTAAATTCTTCAGCTACAATTGCCCTTTGAAACCTCCAAACTCTATCTTCTCAGAGATAAGAATAAAGAAACTTGTGACAAAGAAACATCAGACTTAGAGATAACCTATAGCCGTAGTGGGGTCTAAGAGCCAGCTGGTTAGAGTCACTATTTCAGTCCCTTAAGAACAGTATCTACATGTAGCTTTCTCTCCCAATCTGCATTTCCACTTTCCTGCTTATGCTCTAAATTATATGTACTTTAATCCCTTGAAAACTTGTTTATTCTTACCTACAGCCTGTCAAACTCCAAGTGAGTCATGCAGATAAATGTGTCAGATTCCTTTCACCAGGACCCAAATGGACTGCCCTTGTAAAGGAAGTTCACAACTGCAAGCCTCCAACATGACTTCTGTCCAAGCCCTATTAGATTAACTTTTTGGAGAAGGCTCTTTTCTATGGTCTCCCCTAAACCAACCCCTTTCAGATCAAAGCAGAGAGGTTGAAAATTGACCCATTCTCCCTCACCACAATTAGAGACAGCTCTTCAGAGGAGGGGAACATTACAGGCAGCTAAATTGAATAAAAAGTATATACAGTCAGAGAGGGACTGGGTCCTCAAGGAAGTAAGAGAAAATAAAGACATGCTCAGAGGTGCATCCAAAAAAGATCAGCCTAAAGATAAAGATGCACTCGCTGGGCCTAGATACCTCCCTAAGGAAAATGCAGTGACTTGACATTATACTATAATTGGTTGCCCAGGCGAGTGAGAAGAGCATCCAGGCCCATCCCTCCTCAAAAATATCTTTATTCTCTCCATGTACCCCTGCTACATGACCCACTTCCCTATTGGATCAGTATCAGCTAAGCAGCTATACCTGTAACTCTATAGGTTGATAGCAATTTTAGCCACATTGTATTCACACTGTGACTTTGCTAAGTCAGTTACCCCAAAATAAGCCTCAGTAGCAACCCACTTTGGAGTCCCCCATGTCTCTCAGAATCTATCACTCAATAAATATTTCCTACTCTTTACCTCATGACCCTTAAAATTCATTCTTTGATTTTAAGAGACACAAACTTGACACATCTGACATCTAGCAAGTTGGGAGTTATATTTTTCCTATATCCCTAGCTCCTTACACTGCCCCTTGCTCCTGATCTTCTGTGGCTTATTTGCACTGTTCTTACTATCCTTCCCCTTATTTTCCATGAATCAGTCTCCTTCCATGACCACTGCTTAGTGTCATCTCCATCAGTGAATCCTCACTTTCTGGGTCTGGGCTAGATGTCTCTTCATCTTCTCCTATCACCTGTGTCTCCTCATAGAACAATCACCAACTGCATTGTGATTATTGACCAGCATTTAGCTAAGTGGAGGAGTGGTATATATCTTATGTTTTGCATGACTTGAAATGTTACTCAAGTCTACCATCAGAGTGCAAAAGCAAGCAGAGTATGATAAAGAAAGACTATTGCCGTGTTCCAGAAAAATTTACTGATGGACACTGAAGTGTTAATTTCCTGTCATTTTCATGTGTCACAAAATACTCTTTTTATTTTAATTTCAGAAAAGAATTCTCCTCTGAGTTCCTTTATAACTTTCTGCTGTTGCTTATTTACTATCGACGCTATTAATTCATACATTTGAGCTGAGCTAGTAGAAAAGAATTCTGCTCTGAGTTCCTCTATAACTTTCTGCTGTTGCTTATTTATTATCGATGCTATTAATTCATACATTTGAGCTGAGCTACTGTCCTCTGCACTTGTTCTGGGTGGGCATTGGGTTTCCTCCATATGTTTTTGCATTTTATTCTTTACTGCAGATGCTATTAATTCAGGGATTTCTTTTTTCATTTCCAATCTGAGTTCCTCTATACCTTTCTGTAGTTGTTTCTTTATTTCAGAAGGCATTGATTCATTGATTTCAGCTGTGTGATTCCCAATTTGTTCTGTGTTAGTGTCCTCTGCACTTGTTATGGGTGGGCTTGGGGGTCTGGGATTGCATTTTGCTCCTTCTCATTATCATTTTGTGTCGCACTGTCTTCTGACCTTTGTTGTAGAGCTTTGGTGCAGTTATAACCTTAGTACCTACTGAAATTCAGGTGTAGATCTACAAAGTTTGGATCTATCCAGCTGTGCCTGGCTTGGGTCTGACTGCTGTGCTCAACTCCTTCCTGCTGCCACCCTTGGGAGTGAACCTGTTGTGTCCCTCTGGCAAGATGTTCTGCTCCTGGACTAGCTGGGTGGCTTTGTCCCTACTCTCTCTGCAGGGATTGCAGCTGCAGGGTTTCACCCCAGGCCTGTATACCAGGCCTAAGCTGAGTCTGGAGGGGACAAGGTGGAGTAGTGGGAAGAAGAAGCTTTTCCACACACTCACTGGGCCTGGGCTAGGACTGAATCTGGGGTTCCCCAGAATGCAGCAGAAATTCTCACTGGGCAGGTGGGGTGGGGGGGAGGTGCTGCAGAGTGGTGGTGGTGGGGTTCCAAGTGGGTGGAAGAGGCTCTCACCCATGCTGCGCCTGGGCTTGGGCCAGCAGGTCCCACTGGCACAGGGTAGTCAGAAGCTCTCCCACTCCCTTCCCTCTTCTATTTTAAAATGTAAATGCTACTTGTACTTTGAGGTCTATGAAGAAAGAAGATAGATAAGCCAGATTTACCTGTGGGCTGTGATTTGTCAATTCTCTAAAGTATAAACTTTAGAGCCAGAACCTTGTCTTGTCTGACTTTGTATCTGCAGTGCTTGCTACAGTACCAAACTTAAGATACATATTTAATAAGGAGTTGCCCCAGGTCATAGCCAAGTGATAGTGTCAGGATCCAGTCCTGGTGCAAGTTTAGCTGACAGTGTGATGGCACATTCCCCACTTTCCAGCTTATGAGCACCTGATCTCTGTTATCACTGTTGTTAGTTGCTGTCAGTCCACCTTGCAACCTTCTGCTCTCTAGCATATGAATTCGTTTTATTCACCATATGTGCAATGTTTATAGTAGTTCAGATCTTGTTCATTTCAGTTTGATAAAACAATAAACTGTCTTCAGACTACTTTGGCTTTGAAATCAGAGGCCCCTAGATCTTGTGAGTCACATATATTCTTAGGGCATCATAACTGTTTTATTTTTCTTTTGTTGTATTTTAGGGAAGGGTCTACAAGGTGTTCAGGGTCTCATTACTAGATTGGACTCATAGTGATCCACCTGTTTACAGCCTCCCAAAAGCTGGGGTTGCAGGTGTGCACCACCACGCCCAGTCTCAATTGCTGACTCAGCATGCCCCTGGGGGCCAGGGCAGCATGGCAGGCCTGGGGATTGAACTCCCAGCCCCTGCTCCTGCTTGAGGGTGCTTTAATCCACTGAGCTATTTGGCTGGCCCTCATAAGTCTGATTTCCAAAGGCTATCAGTTAGGAAGAACCCTAAGTACGGTCAAGATATTTTCTTTCTATATAGTCTTACTCATACTTGATTCTGATTTCTTTCCCTTCTAATAATTAGAATACAAAAGTCCTAAAGAACATAGAATTCTAGCACATAGGCATTCTCTATGACCTCACTTTTCAACTTGGATGGGGTTAAAAGGATAAGAAGATTAATCACATACGGAACATCAGAAGCTTGGTGACAGGGCAGGACAGAGCAAAGAAGGCTGGGAGTTTGGAATGACCTTCCCATCTGTGAAGGCCAACACTCAACCATAATAGAAGGTCAGTTGTTCATTAAATATAGATGCTGGGGACCAGAAGAAGAAAACCAAGATAGCCAGGTGGTCATTTCATAAGAAAAAGAGGCTGATAGAATTTCAGTCAATGATGGAATTATGCAGTTAATTAATATTTCAGTAACTTGAGAGCTTGAATATGAGGCAGTCCCAGAAAAAACAATGAAGTATAGCTGATCAGAGTAGTGTGAAAAGTAAAAACTATATAGGAAAAAACACTTTGGAGTTAGAATCAGAAGTTGACTTCCATCTATCAGTAAGACTATGAAGTCATTTTTTGTGTTCTGAATAAACCTCAGTTTATTAATCTACTTAAATTAGATTGAACTTATTCCTCACTAAATGTTGATTTGGATGCTCACATTTCTAAATCTTTTTCAGTTTTTAAGTAATTTAAGACTGTCTTAGAACTAGAATTACAAGTTGCTTTTGCCTCAGACAAGTCTGACCAAAGGGTGAGGATGAATTTATGATTGGAATTTGGAGGTTATCTAGGTGTGACAAGAGAACAAGGTCATCATTTGGTGTGGCTGTTTCTAAGGGATCCTACTCTTGATCCTGACCTCCTCTTACAGCTGTCACATAGACATCTTTCATTGCTCTTATGGGCTATGCCGTTTCAATCTGGGTCAGAAAGTCCTAATTCTCCATCATTTTCTTCAGATGTAGAAAATAAGAAACAAGTTAAAACAAAAATTTCAATGTGGATTTCCAACCCTGACCAATGTTACAGTTGAATGTAGACAAGGCATAAGAAAGGGACCATAAATCTTCTCTGGTGAAAGGGTTTCCACACTCCTGTTCAATGCACACTGCGTCTCAGCTGCTGCAGCCTCCCGGGGTTAGTTTTTACCTAGAGGGTTCATCAGTAAAGGTACTCAATAAGCTTTTACTTCTGTGTAGCCCAAAAGAAAATATATTGTGCAAACAAAACCATCGGGTTGGTTTTATTTTGTGAGCGAAGTGTTAGCCGCACCAGCCTTGAAGTAGGCTGAAGGTCTTTCTGCGTAGCAGTGGGGGTGGGTGGGAAACCAGGCAGATGGTCCTGGTAGCAGAATTAGATGGCAAGGTCGCGCTCCAGTTCTCACATGGGTTGCTTGTGTTTCTCAATTGTGTCTCTCAGGACAGTGAGGTAATCACTGGGTGTTTTTACATGTGGAAATCTCTGTTTCGATTTGCGAGCAGCTGTCCTGTTTCACTGATAAGGAGTACACGATCACAGCGACTCCCAGCAGCCACGCTTATCCCTCTCCCATCCGCTCAGAAAGAACACCTTCTCGCCTGCCTATTTTCCACCTAACTAGGCTGCTTGAAGGTCGGTCCTTCCTCTGCAGTCATTGCACCAACACCAACAGGACATCCGCATACACGTGCCACATCCACCTTTACACTGCAATTTCTGGAGGTCCGTGCACGGGCACTGCATACCTGCAGTGTCACCGTTATCGGAAGGGTCTCAGAACCTGCAACCCGTTGAGCGGAGAATGAATGAAGCCTGCAAGGACGATGCTCTCTTCTTCCTATGGGGCTCCAATTTGAAAATGTTACTGATTTAGCAAGGACCTTAGTCTTTAACCTGTGGAGGAAGCCTTGAGGGCAGGGAAAGCAAAGGGTGTAGGGATAAGCGGTGCGCGAGGTGGAGAACCGGAAAAAGCAAGAGGCCGAACGCGGGGCCAATCCTCGCCCCGCCGCTCGGACCCCGCCCACCCGCTCAGGCCCCGCCCACCCGCTCGGAGCCCCGCCCCCGC